TTTACAAAAATATGACTTCTTAAATGTAGTAAATATAATACTCCGTAGTAATTTTAGCCATACTACACTCAAAGTAACTTCAATCATATTTTTATAAAGTAGTTTTTCTTCAATATGAAAAAAAACTCATAGCGAAAGTTATATTAAACAAAACAAAATATAACTCATGGAAATCGTTTCTCAACTTCCCAGACGAACCCAGAGCGAAAGTTAATTATATGTTTATCATGGACTTGAGTGTTTGAAAAAAGAGATTTAGTCACACAAGGTATTTTCTGTTTTTGACTTTTTGGTGAACTCAATTTTTAGTTTTCTGCTTTAAAAGTTTAGGTCCATGATTATAAACTCTCATTTATGACCCTTCCGGCCACTTTTCCATCAAAATCAAGTGGAAATGGTACGCACGTTAGCACCAAGAGTGGTCTAATGACCTAATAATCCCAATGTTAAAAGTGAAATTAACTGAAAAAATCGCAATTAGAAATTTAGAATACCATGTACTTTATTGTGCATTACGTATGTACTTTCAATTTGTATGGTTGCAAAAGTTGAACACATAAAAATTGCCACGGAATAACAATTCAAGTAGTGCACTCTACATAACCTTTGAAGCCAAAATCAGGCTTTCGATCTACTCTGGTTGATTCCCTTTCCAAAAGGGGAAATGTCGGGTTGTATGATAAACAAATGAGAACAGCATGAAGCAGAACTCGAGACTCGTGACTAGCCGTCTCCATGAGTTTCATCAAGATAACTGACAATTGCTTAACCGCCTCAAGCAGAAACTATCTATCTATAGTTCATTATAATATCCTTGTCCATCTGCACAACATGAACACATAAGATGAGATGCATTGAAAGTGTTGCAACTATTTTTAAGTGCCTCATGCTTCCACAGAACCATTTCTGATCTGCTTATCCACTTAAGAAGTATGTTTCGTTGAGGCATGACAGTTCATTTGTAGGAAAAAATCACATGAATAATTGTAACAATTAGCGATCTTCCCATGTTACTACCAAATATACATACAATAACAACAACAACGTCCGAGTCTTAGTCCCAAAAGAGTTTGAGGTCGCGTAACATGAAATCGACATATGAAATTGGAGCTATAATATACTCTGTACATGTTATTCATAGGCGGTCTTCCTAAATTGATCCCAAGTAATCGGCAACGGAGTACACCAGTAAAGCATAAAAAAGAAAAATAAAAAGAAAACTGAACAGCCAATGTTCCCTCGCTGTGGGCAAATATCAGAGGAGTAGAGGACAGAGGGTTGCAGCAGTCGTTGGGCAAACCATAGATGGGGGAGGGAGGCAGAAATTGGTGGCTGCAAATTCTGCAATGAAGATGGATCATGGATGGCCACACAACACCCATGGTGCCAGCGGCGGGAGTCACCATGGAAAAAGAAAGCTAACCGGAACCAACCATAAAAATAAAGATTTATAATCTGAAAATTAAGAAAGAAGATGGAAGAGGAAGAAGAGCAGGAAAACAAGGATAATCTGAAATTTTTGAGAGGAAGAAGGGGATTTACATGGAAACTTCTGTTTGGATTTGAAAGGAGAAAGAAGACCAAAGAGGAGTAAGAGGAGGACGGCGAGAGATTTTCATGAAGAGAAAAAGAAAAATGAAAAAGGAAAGGAAAAGAGAAAAGAAAAAGGAAAAAAGAGACAAATCAGAACAAGCCACGTGGCAAGGTGACATGCAGAAACAATTTATTCAGGTCACAGGCTTATTTTGAGAAAGTGCTCCTTATAATTTACTGCATTGGAATTAAACATATTTGGGATTAATATTAGAAGAACGTGAAGAGGTGAGATTATTTATGTGAATTTTTCCTTTATTTTAATCATTTTTAATTGACTATTCCGATATAAATTAACAGCTTAAGGAACGCTTCCATGCACACACATTCTAAAAAAGCACTCCTCAAAAGCTTGAACAGAAAAAGGTGGAAGTACTTGCAGCTTGAAAGTGATATAGAGACTCAATTTAAGACATATTCTCTTACTAGTTACTCCCTTCGTCCCATAAAATAGTTCCCACATTGACTTGGATCAGAGTTTAAGAAAGTGGGAATAAAGTGGAAATGTATGGGTGTGGTTGATTAAGAAAAAGGTAAATGAACGGTAGCCACAAAAAACTTTCTAAAAATGGAAATGGGAACTATTTTTTGGGAAGGCTCAAAAAGGAAAGCGAGAACTATTTTGCGGGACGGATGTGATAGAGATACCTCCAGGTACACAGTAAATTCACAGAAAGATGAACAGAATTCAAAGAAAGCAATTCAAGAAGCTTTATTGAAGAAGAACAAGTATCAATGGCCAAAGCCCCCAAGGAGAGAGAGTATTAGTCTCTAACTTCCCAGTACAAGACAAAAGTCTAAAACAGACTACTTTACTTCTCCCAGCTTATTCTATTTATACTAATCTAGTACACTTATTATTATTCTTGGTCTATTAGGCCCAATTCCTAACAGTCTATTAGGCCCAAGTCCTAACAATACTCCCCCCTTCCCTAAACATCCACCTTGCCCTCAAGGTGGGTGATAGGAAACAGCCAAAATCTTCTGCTTCATCTTCCTCTTCCTCCTGGCGCTTCTACCTTCCCAATATCTCACTGTTTTCCGAGCAAACAGCTTTAGTACATAATCTTTCCAACTCACAAACTTCTCTGCAGCATAGAATATATCTGGTGAAGTTTCATTTTCTTCACTAGCTTTTAAGCCTTCAATAGCCACAAGTATTTCCTTGTCTTCTTGAGGTGTATCACCTAAACCAGTAGCAGAATTTATGTTCATGCCCTGAACCTCTTTGCCAGTGTGATGCAACACCGAAACCAAGCAACATCTTTTGCCTGAGAATACAAAGTCAACTCCTTCAGCACCAAGTGCATCAGTCATGATTCTGTGGATCCCCATTCTGAGTACAACTTCATTTCCTTGATTCCTTCTATCACAGTCATTTCATTAATTGCTCCATTTTCAACAGTAATGAAGTATGGCAGCCAATCCCTAATTTTCATTAGTCACTGCAAAGTATTTCTGGTGCTTATGCATGACCATTATCAGTAATTCTTTAGGAAGCTCTAGGAAGGTGTCCTTAAATTTTCCAAGTACTGGCATAGGTGCCTCAACAAGATTTCCAACTTCATTAATTAAACCAGTCTGCACAATAGGATCTCTATTTACACTCTTTGTAAAACCATGGGACTGCTCCAAATAAACTTTTTGTGTTGATCAACATCAACAAAATTCCCAGCATGTTGCATCAGATCGCCATAAGATGTTGCATTTACTACCTCTACAGTGGCAGATGGAGTGATATGTATATCATTCGAAACATATCCACTGAAGGGGTTGTTACGAGTGAGGGAATGGGTCATTACTCCAGCTGTCTTTGCAGATATGTCTCCCCATATGAGATAACTTTCAGTTGCTTTAAATGGAGTATGTAAGTCAAGCTTGGAGTAGTCTAACTTGCTCTCAAGTCTCAACTCATGACTGCAATTCTGCTTCTTGTACTTCAAGGTGTTGTGCATGGTTAGACTTATCAGCATCATGAATCTGTGTGCGGTTTCCCCAGATGATAGCAGATTCTTCAGAAAAAAGATGAACATGATCCTTATGAACCTCTGGTCCCGACCTCTTTTGTTCCAGGCCTAAATTTTCTGAAAACATTTTCTGTCTTTTCTCCTGGATTTTGTCCTTGATTTCGTCTTTCTTATTCAATTGCTTGATTACAGGTTCAGTTGGTTCCATCTGGGTCTTCTTTATTGACTGGGAAAATTCTTGGGCAGGGTGAGAAACTTGTGAACTAAGAGAAGTTCTTGGCGACCGCGATGACTTCTGTTTTTCTGTCTTCCGCTTGCGTCTAGGTGGGAAACGCCTAATCGCCGCTTCCTTTAGAGCCTTCCACCTATTTTCTCTCATTTGGAATTCCCACCATTGAAACCATCCAAACGCCTTTTCCTCCATAGCCTCAGGTGCGACATCAACCTTAAATTTTTCTGCAATAGCTTTGACTCGGAAGTCTTTCCATCCTATCTATCCAATCGTATACTTCATCCTCGTTGAATAGCGGTAATTCCTCCGTCTTAGAACTAGCTGAATTCCTAGAAGCGACTTTAGACGAAGAAAACGAACAGTGAAAATCCTTTGGTGAGGAAGATTCTCCTCTCAATCGCGTCTGTCTTGGGCGCGAACTGATGGCCGTTGATGAAGTCTGAGAAGGAGTTCATGATTGCGAACTTAGAGAAGATGTTCGTGATTTCGTCTCCAACTCCGTCTGCAATAGCGGATTATGCCTACTGTTCCTCGATCGATCTCCAGGTATTCTGCGAAGCCTCTGCTCTTCCGAATCATCTGAACTATCCGAGTTTCGCGTGTGTCGATGATGAGAAGTGCTATGCGATGCGGATGATGCATGCGACCTACTTTGCAAACGATTCTGTATCCTCCTCTCTATATTCGTGATGCTTGTTCGTAACTCAGCTAAGGTCGCCGCAGTGCTTGCTGCTGTTTCTTGTTGGTGTCGCTCCAGTTCATTTAATCTTCCTTCCATTTTTTCGCACTTGTAAAGATCTTCCACAGATCGACGTTCTCTGATACCACTGATAGAGATACCTCCAGGTACACGGTAAATTCACAGAAAGATGAACAGAATTCAAAGATAGCAATTCAAGAAGCTTTATTGAAGAAGAACAAGTATCAATGGCTGAAGCCCCCAATGGCCGAAGCCCCCAAAGAGAGAGAGTATTATTCTATTTATACTAATCTAGTACACTTATTATTATTCTTGGTCTATTAGGCCCAATTCCTAACAGTCTATTAGGCCCAATTCCTAACAGGATGGAGTACATATTAATTAAATATGAAATAGAAAACTATTTCATTTTGTTGATGTTGAATATCTGGGTTTTGCTGAATGGGATAATTATTTTTTCTAAATGGAATGATCGCATTTAAATTTAAGTATCATGGCCAGTAGTAATCTCATTTATGTTTTTAAGCAAATTAATTTGTTAGAACAAGGATCCGCCATGGGTGGCAGAAGTGCAGAACCACAGAACGTATTGGATTGGATGTGGATCTTCCGATCCTCCAAATCTGATTGAATTGACTCCCGTCAGAGAACATCTTGCACCCCACAATTCAATAGTTGAATATAGAGGATTGCAACTTACAAATTTCGATAGCTCATTGGCCTTCTCATCATCAAAACCAAGTGCAGCCATTATTATTTTCCCTGCTGATGCCTTTTGTGACCAAATGCCAAGAAGCAGATAAGCTGTTGTCAATTCTCCATCCTCACCTGTGTTTTGCAAGATATGAGGAGAAAACAATTTATCAGACCTGTCAAGTGATGGAATTTTTCGAAAACATACAGGTGTAATTCAATGCAGATGGCAAAAAACAATGATGGTGATGTTTTTGAAATTTCATCTCATCATTCAAATGCAGGACATATTGCATGAGCTTATAGTAACTAACGTTATTACTTGCAATTAATTGACACTATCGGCCACTAAACATAATAATAATATAATAGACTTTCAATCTTCGTCAAACAAAAAAAAAGAGTTTCATCAGGGAGAGTGGTAGTAATCTGGTCGAAAGGTTTTCTGTTTTGAGCGACTATTTAGCAAGGTTGGCCCAAAATAATCAGCTGGCTGATTTGGCAGCCCAGGCCCCCTCAGTGCTCAATCAGCTGGCCAGAATACCTGGTTTAATTTTTCACTCAAACCCAAGTAACATAGTCTAGTCATTAAAGCACATACTAAACAAAATAAATCATTGGCTTTTCTATTAAATAACTTTGTTAACTATTAGAGTATTCTACATCACAAAATATGAAATCTAGAAAGTTTATAAACAATTTCCATCACTCAAAGAATACAAAAAGTAACTCATTAATAACGCTATCAATATATCTTTATAAAATGTATAACGAGGTGTATTAACTATTTAATGAATCTTATCATATGCACAGGTGCACACAATAGCCAACCTGATAGAAAATAACAGGGATCATCTAGGAGGTCCAGGTGGTGGACAAGCACCGAGCATTGAATATTTCAAATCCAACTTACATCCATGAGACAAATAGCTAACTTGAAGCATGTTAAATAATGAAAATGGTAATTCTTGAATCTTGATTATTAAATTCTAACTGACAACGTGCACTGATACAGTGTGACTACACGATCCTTGCTAATTACTATGTTAGAGTATACGAAAATTGCTATCCGCCATTTCCAAATGAGACATAAAAATGCAACTAACAACAACAGTAACGACAACAACCATAATTTGAAAAAAAAATAACATAAGCGAAGACTTAGAAGTAGTTATGTAGCCATTCAAATCCAAAATATGTGCACCCAAATTAATAGCAGTGCACATATTACTCAATATGGTACCAAAATAGACAATTGCTTCTCAAATACTCCCTCCGCGTAGGAATTAAGTTCCTAGTTAACAGGTTTTTAGGCAAAATAACTTTTTCAATTGACTTTCCAAGTACACTATTCTTCAAAAGTATGACAGAGAAAGTTAATAATTAATGATGTACTTTTCATATGGGTAAAAAAGTATTTTACCGTTCAAATATTGCCAAAAAGAGAAGTAGGAACTTGATTGTGGGACATCCTAAAAAGGAAAGTAGAAACTAATTGCGGGACGGAGGGAGTACTAAGATACTTTTTCAAGACAAGGGGATGGAGTAAGCAATGCGTATTAACAGCACTTATATATATCTACACGTATTGATCAACATCATCAAGATATACATTCGCCACACTATCATCCGCGTCAATTTTAAATTGCCAAGTCAACTGCTAAATCATTAACCATGTATGCTACAACGCTTATAGCCATGTTACAATACAGTACTAGCCATGTTACCTACAAATACATGTGCAAGTAAAGGTTCTATAATTAGTGATTACCTACACATAATTGCATGTGTAGATAATAACGTTTTCCTACGGTCAGATACCCACACTTCATTATACTTATCATATGTTTGGGTAAAACATTTTACCCCCATACAACCACACTTTTATCTATGTTTGCTTCTGTGTGTCAATCCCTTATTTTCTTGTAGTTACACATCACCGACCGTAACATTCAATTTTACATCCATTAAGTCAAACCACACTCCTGGAACTGTTTGCTCAGGTACCCCAACAGTAAGCAGTCCATTTTTATTTTTATATGGGCCATCATGATATATGTTTTCGCGTAGAATAAATAAACATGTTCGTATTAATCTATTTATTGAATTTTTTGTGTAAACAGAAAGTTGTCCGGACTTTAATATATTAAAGCTTTATGAGGGTACCTGATTTCAGCTTTGCATCAACAGCCCAATCAAGAGCCTCCTTGGCAGGTTTGGTTAAAGGAGGATGCTCCGGACTGGAAATGAACACACCAGATTTGCCAAGTAGGTTTATAGTTTCGTCTCGCACCTTAAATAATGTGATACCATTTTCCCTCAAATGCTTAGCAGCCAAACTGGTTCCTGTAAAAACAGTGTTTCTATGCATAATTAGGTATTTTTTGAATCCTGGGAAATACTAGGGGCGTACTAAGGAAAAGTGTTTTCTTTTGTTCAACAGTTCAACTTTAGATTGAAAACACAAGAAAAATAAACAATGATTCTTTTTACATATTTAGAACGGTATGGTTCTTCTTGAGTTAGATGAGAGTGTGACTTCGGATAGGGCAAGGTGGAGGGAGAGTATAAGTGTGGATGATTGATTTAATTTTGTTTGACACCCTTTCTCTCTATTTAATATTTTTACTACGTAGTATTATTTATTAATGGATATTAATGGACGACGGAGAGATAAAAGAGAGGTGGAGGTCATACTTTGATACACTATTCAACGGGAACAAAACGCAAGATATTGGCGATTTGTCCATACCAGATTGTATGGTAAACCGTGATTTTGTGAGAAGGATCCAAACAACAGAAGTTAAAGAAGCTCTGAGGAAGATGGGACGTAAAAGAGCAATGGGGCCAGATGGCATACCGATCGAGGCTTGGAGAAGTTTGGGAGAGAGAGGCGTCGAGTGGTTAACAAGTTTCTTCAACATGATTTGGAGAAACAACAAGATGCCAACGAGTTGGAGGAAGAGTACTTTTATCCCCTTATTTAAGAATAAAGGTGATGTACAAGAATGTGCCAACTATCGAGGGATTAAGCTTATGAGTCACACCATGAAACTTTGGGAGCGAGTGATTGAGCAAAGACTTCGAAGGACTGTGAAGATTTCAGAGAATCAATTCGGTTTTATGCCTGGTCGCTCAACAACTGAGGTCATTCACCTTCTTCGGTAACTTATGGAGAAGTATAGAGATGCTCATAAGGATCTGCATTTGGTGTTCATTGACTTAGAAAAGGCATATGATAGGGTACCTCGAGAAGTTCTTTGGTGGGCCTTAACTAGGAAAGGCATATCACGTTTGTATATCAGCATCATCATGGATATGTATGAGGATTGTACTACAAGTGTTCGTACTAGCGTAGGGAGGATTGAAGAGTTCCCTATTACTATCGGAGTGCACCAAGGATCGGCCTTGAGTCCTTTCTTATTTGCCATAGTCATGGATGAACTTACGAAGTCAATTCAAGACGATATACCGTGGTGCATGATGTTTGCCGACGATATTGTATTGATTGATGAGACGCAATCAGGTCTTAAAGCAAAGTTGGAAGTATGGCGACAAACATTGGAGAATAAAGGTTTCAAACTAAGTCGGAGCAAGACAGAGTACATGGAGTGCAAGTTTGGTGGAGGTAGAAGTAGTGGTAATAGCGGAATTACTCTGGATGGTAAGGAGATACCAGTAAGCGATATGTTCCGTTACTTGGACTCCATAATTCAGAAGGACGGTGAGTTAGATGGAGATGTATCCCATAGAATCAGAACGGGGTGGATGAAGTGGAAGAGTGCGTCAGGATTTCTATGCGACCGAGGTATGTCGACTAAACTGAACTCACTGAAGGGTAAATTTTATACGACAGCAATTAGGTCTGCATTACTGTATGGCGTAGAGTGTTGGGCGGTGAAACAATGTCACATTCAAAAGATGAGTGTGGCAGAGATGCGCATGCTGCGTTGGATGTGTGGGCATACTAGGAAGGACCGCGTGAGGAATGAGACAATCAGACAAATGGTGGGAGTAGCACCTATTGAAGACAAGATGTGGGAGTCACGCCTACGGTGGTTTGGTCATGTGCGTAGAAGACTGAGTGATGCACCTGTTAGGCGAGCTGAGATGTGTGGAGAAGAGGCAGGGAAGAGAGGGAGAGGAAGACCCAAACAGACGTGGGTTAGGGAGTTCGAAGTGATGTGCGTAGAAGACCTTTTTATTTTATCATTTTTATATATATTCATCTTTTTTATATTATCTTTTCATAATAGCTTATCTTTTTATCTTTATTCCTTCTTTTCCTTTTGGTTGTGATATCATGTATCGATTCATGTTAGCCGACCCCAATATCTTTTGGGACTAAGTTTTGGATGTTGTTGTAGTATTATTTATTATTTTTAACTCATGTATCATAAGCATGTATTTAGGTTAGCCAACCCCACTCTTATGGGATTAAGGCTTGGATGTTGTTGTTGTGGTTACATATTCAGATTTCATAGTCTTTGTATAATAAAGCTAAATAAATAAGAGGAATCTGAACAAATATCTGAAATAAATTTAGAGAGAATTCCCTAAATAGGAGTAAATAAGTTTTGAAATTCCAAAATAGGACTATCATGTTTTTTATTCCCCGAATAGGAGTAAATTTCTGCCAAGTTTGGCATTACTAGGCTTTAAACATGGCATTTTTTCCCAAACTTGGCAGAATTACTCCTATTTAGGGAATAAAAACATGAAAGTCCTATTTTGGAATTTTAAAACGTTTTTACTCCTATTCAGGGCAATTTCTAATAAATTTAGAGAGTGTAAGCCTATTCCCCCGCCCCACCCCAAAAGAACTTCCAGTTATCCTCACTACTTTCTTTACCTAATATATTCCATGTTCCAAATAGAGCTTTAAAGAATCATCTAACTAAAATACAATGTTCTAATATCAACAGACCCATGATTTTTATACAGCAGGTGAATACATATCACATATGCATTGGGTGATTTGAACAAGAAACCTACCTAAGCCTGTGATCATGCTCAATGCATGTATCTATTAATGATGCAAGCCCAAAAAACAGTAATCTTGATGGGATAAGTGAATATTAACCTTCAACCAAGATACCCATGAGCAAAGATTCAGTGCCCATGTTGAGATACCTTAGCTTTCTAGCTTCAAGTTCACCCATTGCAAAAGACTTTATCGCCCTTGCTGACCATCTACACAGCACACTAAAGCTATAATCAGAATTCATAACGCATAACCCCCAATATATAATAACTGGATATAAAACATACATAAAACTCACTTGGGCTGTTTTGAAGGAGCTTTTTCTGCAGTGTCTGCATTTCTGCAAAACCAAATGAACCGAGAGCCATAAATTGCATATCTTGCACTATTGATTAACGGAACGAGCGAGTAAGCGCTGAAGATTACGAAGATGGGAGGGTGGGCGTGAGTGTCGCAGAAGTAAAACTACGTCGTTTTGAAGTGGGGGAGCTCAAATTGGAAACACGAAATGAGAGTCCCCGCCCTAGAAAAGAGTAAGATAGAGCTCTCAGGTTGGGAGTTAAAGAGTTCTCAGGAGTTGGTCTTTTGCAGCACTGTGAAGGTGGGATCGAAATGTATGACAGCGTGTGAGCGGCCATTGAAGTTTTGCTGAAACCCCAGTTGAGAGGATATGTCGACCCTTCTTCGTCTAAATTGAGATCGATACAGAATAGGAAACAAATCTTCCTAATAATATTCTAGGAAACAAATCTTCCTAATAATATTCTATTACACTCCCCAAATTGTGCGCGAGATACGACGCACAATTAGTAAAAATGAAATTAAAGACTAGAAAGACTTTTAGTAAAAATGTCAGCTAACTGTAACTGAGTAGGGATGTACTTCACAATTAGATCTCCATGAGCCACACGCTCCCTGACGAAGTGATAGTCAATCTGAATGTGCTTGCTACGAGCATGCTGAACTGGATTAGCAGTGAGATAAGAAGCAGAAATATTATCACAAAAAAGCTGGATCGGCGTAGCAATGGGATAGTTGAGCTCAAACAATATGGAACGTATATGCAGGGTATCCTGAACAGTGTAAGCAATGGCCCTATATTCAGCTTCTGTAGAGGATTTGGAGACAGTAGGCTGCTTTTTGGACTTCGAGGAGATAAGATTCGCACCCAAGAAAACTGCAAAACCAGTTGTGGAGCGGGACGTATCTGGACAGCCAGCCCAATCAGCATCAGAGTAGGCAATTACACAAGTAGCTCGAGATGTAGGCTGAAGCCACAAACCATGCTCAATAGTCCCCTGCAAGTATCTAAAAATTCTCTTGATAGCAAAAAGATGAGTAGTACGAGGAGCATGCATAAACTGAGATACTAAATGCACAGCATAGGTAATGTCAGGTCGTGTCAAAGTTAAATATTGTAATGCACCAACCATACTACGATGCTCAGTAGCATTAGCAAGAAGTTCCCCATCAGTGAGGGATAAAGATGTGCGAGTAGCAAGCGGAGTGCGGACAGACTTGAGAGTATGGAGATGAAATCGAGATAGAAGATCAAAAACATACTTATGCTGGGATAGGAACAAACCTTTATCTGAGCGGACAGCCTGTACTCCTAAAAAATAATGAAGATCACCAAGATCCTTCATAGCAAAATGCTGAGCAACAAGCTGAATAAAAGATGTGATAGCCGCAGAAGAATTGCCAGTAATAATGATGTCATCAACATAAAGTAATAAATAAATGACATTATTATTCTGACGAAAAATAAACAATGAATTATTAGACTTGCTGCATGTGAAATGATGAGAAAGTAGAAAGCTACTAAACCTATGAAACCATGCCCGCGGGGCTTGCTTGAGCCCATAAATGGCTTTTCGCAAACGACATAAATGATTAGGAAATGAGGATGAATAAAGCCCCGCGGTTGACGCATATATACCTCCTCAGTTAGATGACCATGCAAAAAGGCATTTTTAACGTCCAACTGACGAATAACCCATCCAAGAGAAATAGCAAGAGTAAGAACAATACGAACTGTGGTGGGTTTAATAACCGGACTAAAAGTTTCAGAGAAATCCACACCTTCCTGTTGATTAAACCCCTGAGCAACTAATCGAGCTTTGTGACGCTCAATAGAGCCATCAGAATTATACTTAGTCTTATAAATCCACTTAGAGCCCACAACATTTTTAGTGTGATCAAACGGAACTAAGTCCCAAGTATTATTAGAAATAAGAGCATTAAATTCCTCCGCCATTGCCTCACGCCATTTTAACTGTTTGTTAGCCTCTGAATAACAAGTTGGATCGTCTGATAAAACAACTGTGTTTAAATTAAAAATCATTTTGGGTTTAAAATGCCCGACTTAGCCCGAGTTTGCATTGGGTGACAATTAGCCAGCGGACCAGAGGAAGATGTATCTGGTGCACTGGCCGGTAGCTGCGGTTGCACACTTGGAGCATTATCAGGACGGGTGAAGACTGCTTCAGGCGCATCTGATTTGTGGGACGGAGTTGCAGACCGAGAGGCAGGTAAGGGAGTGCCTGGAGGTGGAGTCGGGTGAGGGCTTGGTATTGATGGGGTTCGGCAATTATAATTTGGTGTGGAGGGAGGTGTTTGAGCATTGGTTTGCCCTGGTGAAGTAGGAAGAGCTGAGGGCGTGGGGATTGTATTGGAGTGTTCAGTGGGTGATGGAAGAGATATGGTGAGGGCTGGAGGCATAGAGTGAGGTGTGGTATTGATAAGGGTAAAATCGTCGGGAATAGATTAAGAAGATGGAGATTCATGACCCGTAGACGAAGACAAAGTGGCATATGGAAAAATATTTTAATGAAAACGAACATGCCTGCTAATAAAAACCTTGCCAGATTTGGGGTCAAGACAGCGATACCCCTTAAAACCAGATGCATAGCCAAGAAAAACACACTGAACAGAACGTGGTGAAAATTTGTTGGAAGAAGAAGCAGAAAAATTCGGATAACAAGCACACCCAAAAACACGAAGCAAACTATAGTCAGGAATTTTGTGAAATAGTTTTTCATATGGTGAAGCACCAAAAAGAGTAGGAGAGGGTAGTCTGATAATAATATAGACAGCCGTAAAAATAGCATCCACCCAAAAAGTATTAGGAATTGAAGTTGTAATAAGCATAGTCCGAGCAAGTTCAAAAAGATGGCGATGTTTACGTTCAGCAACACCATTTTGTTGCAGCGTATAAGGGCAAGATTTTTGAAAATAAATACCATTTTCGGCCAAAAATTGTTGCATAGAAGAATTAACGAACTCACCCCCTCCATCACTATGAAAAACTTTAATTTTAGAATTAAATAAATTTTCAACTAAAAGTTTAAAGAGACGAAATTGAGAAAAGACCTCATGTTTGGTGCGCAATGGGTAAATCCAAGTAAAGCGAGAGAAGTCATCAATAAAGCACACATAATATTTAAAACCTAAATTAGATAAAACTGGAGATTGGCACACATCAGAATGAATTAACTGTAATGGAGAAGTAGAATTATGACTAGCATCTGAAAAGGGTAATCGCTGAGATTTACCCAAACGACAAGAAACACAATCATGTTCAAAATTTGAAGAATGAGAAATAAGTTTTCTACCACGCAACAGGCGTAAAACAGATTCACCACAATGTCCTAATCTACGGTGCCACACAGGGCCAGAAGTAATAGCGGAAGCAAGAGCTAATGGTGCAGGAGGACTGAGGCTGACTGGGTAGAGATGACCATTATGACGCGCCTGAAGAAGAACTGCCCCCGAAATTTTGTCCTTAACAACAAAAGAGTTTTTATCAAAAATAGCAATGCAGTTGTTATTAGCACACAACTTTTGAATAGAAATTAAATTGAATTTAATTTGAGGCACATGAAAAACAGAGTTTAATGACAACGGGCGGCCAGGAGTATTTAATGTAATATTACCAATATTAGCTATGGGAAGTTTAATGCCATTTGCAACAATAACAGACATGGAGCCAAAATAAGGGGATTTATTTGACAAAATACCTTCAGAAAAAGCATCATTAGTTTCCCCAGTTGGAGCAATCAAGGCAGGTGTAGCAGACTGTGAAAAGCGAGACGGACAATGTAATGCAGAATGACCTGCAGAGAAACAAATTTGACACACAACCGGGGATGGAACTGACCCAAGAATACCCTCAGCGGATGGGAAACCTGCATAATGTGAGTAAGTACCAGAAGTAGATGTAGCATTAATATTTAAAATGGACAAGACAGAATTACCAGACGGAGCATTAGTGGGTCTCGGGTTATACACACCCCCTGCGACCGAGTGCTGGAGTGGTGGCCGAATAACTGGCTGCTGCTGCTGTGGGTATCCCGGCTGACCATAGGGCTACTGCTGCTGGAATCGACCTCGTCCACGGCCTGCTCTGCCACGGCCGCCTCTACCGCGGCCTCCTCTGCCACGGTATGCGCCCTGTCCGGGCTGCTGTCCCTGTGGACTGTGGGGCTGGCAGTGACCCACATGAGCCCCAAACGCTGGCTGCAATGAGGAAGCCTCCTCCTGGAGATGTAGTACTTGTTGTTCGGCTTCCATGAGCCGTGGGTGAAGGATATCGGGTGGAAAACTTTCAGGAAATAATTGCATGGTTCCCGTAACAAATTGATATTCAGGCCCCAATCCACGAAGTGTGCTTTCTAGTAATTTCTTATTAGTCACAGGTGAGTTTATGGCAGCTAAAGCATAAGACAATTTTTTATATCAAGTAAATAATGCTCCATAGATTGATTTGGCTTCTTTTTAGTATTGGACAATAATCGTTTGAGTTCCATAGCTCTAGGTAAACTGGCAGACATAAAGCGTGTTTGTAACCGTGCCCATATACCAAAGGAATGTTTAATATCATGAACATCAGTTAATACATCCCGAGTAAGAGTGGCAAACAACCAAGAGCGGATTGTTTGATCCACCCGAAGCCAATGATAGTAATCAGTATTAACGATGCACTGATTATTAAAATACAAAGTGTACATGGGAGGTACCTGAATTGTGCCGTCTACAATGCCAAAAAGACACTGTGACACGAGGAATGACTCGAACTGCGTCCACCATGTAAGGTAGTCTTCCACCGCTTTAAGCTTAATAGTCACAACCTGGCTGACATTGGCAATGCCGTGTGAAAGTGATTGTGCCATTGCTGCCATCGGGGAACCAAAAAGGGGATTATCATGTGCGGGACGAACTACACCCGACGAACCAGCAAAAGAGGGCCCGAAATAGGGAGTGCTGACGGGTTGCTGATTCGGTGCCGCCGGAGGAATGACCGGCTGCAGCTGCAAAGGTGAGGCGATCAGGGAAGAAACT